GCCCAGAACAATCCCAGCAGCAAGACGTCACCGCCCTGGCTTCTGCGGTCACGGGGGCCACCACCCCAGGTGTGGCCCGTGACCCCACCACAGCCCACCCCAGCTCAGCACCAGGGCTCGGTCGGCCCTGCCACCTCCACAAGCCACAGGATGGTGGCTTTCCTGCAGATGCCCGGGGTTCTGGGTCTGACTGTGCCGCCTGCTGCTGTGTGACCCTGGACCACGCGCTTGCGGTCTCTGGGTGGCGCTCACAAGGCAGGGCGAGCTTGGCAGCTCCCAGACGCCCTGTGCCAGGGGCAGCTGCCATGAAAAATGTCCTGAGTTTTCTTTTTGTCCAGCCCTTTCTTGTATTTTATTCAGAGACAGGGTCTCGCTGAGCTGCTCAGGGCCTCACTAAGATGCCGAGGCTGGCCTCCACCTTGCCGTCCTCCTGCCTCAGCCTCCAGGCTCACAGCTGCTCGCCCCCATGCCCAGCTACTCTCCGGGGGGTTTTTGAAATCCAGCTTTCGGATCCATGGAAGGCTCCTCCTGCCCAGTGGCTTGGTGGCTGGCCCTCCACAGAACAAAAGACCTGCTTCTGAGTGATGGGCGGGGACGTCCCCCTCCCCCTCCCCCTCCCCCGTGGGGGGTCTGTAACCCTCTGGTTAAATGATGGGTGAGCCGAGCCTCATAAATGTGTAGACGCGACAGACAGACAGACAGACAGACAGGTCTCATTACAGAGGACGCGGGGCCAGCAGACGAGGGGGGGTGTCCCTGGTGAATGTCCTGGTCACCCGCTGTGACCACAGGGAGAGTGCCACATGTCCAGTCCCAGGCTCCAGGGGAGTCCTCCTGTCCCTCGCGTCACATGGCCCTGAGCGCGTCCCCGACGCGGGTCTCTCTCAGGGTCCCTCCCTGTGAGTTTGATGGCATTTAATTAAAACTGATGGCAGAGGGACCCGCGGCAGATGCTCCTCTCTTAAGTCAGAAAATTAAAAACGGAGCGTCCCCATCCGTCAAGTGCCCAGCCCCGGGCGCTGGGCCGCGAGGACCTGGGGGGGACGATCTGCGGGTGGCCCGGGTCCTTCCAGGGGACTTAATGAAAGTTCTGCTGAGCGCATTTGTCATAAGGGTGATAACAGCGGGGAGGTGGTGGCCCGGGCTCAGGGACAGAGGGGAAGACACCCGGCCACCGCTGCCTGGCCAGCGCTCTGGCTGGCCTCTGGGCACAGCCCGGGGGAGGCTGGAGGCTGGGCCTCCTCTGCGCCTGGGACTGGCCGGCCACTGACACTCGGGCTGTGGGTCACCTTTGTGAGGCCACAGCGTGGGCTCGGTGGCTGTGGCCAGTGTCTGTGACCAGGCCTTGGTCTGCACTGGACACCCCATACCCGCCCCTGCCCCGGGATGGTGAGCAGGTCGCTCCTTTGACTTGGACGTGAAAAGAGGGGATTCCTGGGGACATCTTTCTCGGGACACCAGCCCCCGTCTTCTTTCTTGGCGTCAATGAGAAACAAGTGCTGGGCGCCGTGGCCACAGGCCTGTGATCCCCGCGGCTCTGGAGGCCGAGGCAGGAGGATCGTGAGTTGGAGGCCAGCCTCAGCAACAGCGAGGCCCTGAACAACTCAGGGAGACCCTGACCCAGGAGGGCAGGGGACGGGGCGCAGGGGACCCTCCCGATGTAGGGCAGTGTGTCTGGTGCGCACTGGGGTTCGTCCCCGTCACTTGTGCCAGGATCCCCGCGGGTCCCACATCAACCTCCCCCCTCTTCTCGGTGACCCCCAGAGGCCAGCGGGGGCACCCAGGCCACCCCTCTCTCCTCGCCCTTGTCACCAAGAGCCTCCAGAGCGTCCCCGTCCGGGATGTCCCCCTCCTTCTGTGAGCAGCCTCTGACAGGCCACCCCTCTGCGCCCTCTGGCCACGTGCCTACTGCAGCCAGGGACGTCCCTGCCGCCACCCGGGGACCCAGCAGAAGAACCCCTGCCCGCTCCATCCTGGACCTCCGCGGTCACCGCAAGGCCACCGCCCGGCTGGCTCAGGGATGCTCCCCGACCCAGCAGCCGGTCCAGCCGGGCCACCAGCCATGGGGACAGAAGGGACGTGTCCTTCCCGTGTTCCTCGAGCCTCTGGGCCAGCCACCAATGTCAACACTGGGCACAGCAGTGCCACCCGCCTCCTGCCAGGGACACGCCCAGCAGCAACTGGATGAGGGGCAGCAGGAGCCCAGGAGATGGGCAGACGGACGGACGGATGGACGGACAGACCGACAGACACGCGCAGGGCACAAGGGACCCGCTTCGCCCTCCTGGATTCTACCCAGATCCAGTCCAAAGCCTGCGCCCAGCAGCAGGTGACCTGGACCTTGTCACCTAAGGACGCTCACGGGTCCCTTTACCCCCCACACCAAGGCTGGCGACCCCCGCTCGCTGTCACAGAAGCCACCAAGGCACAGAGGGCTCCGTGACCTGCCCCAGGCCACGCCACTGAAACCCAGGTGGCTTGTCACCGAAGCCCGTGTGCCGAGCCACCGTGACACACACAGCGGACACACAGGGCCACTCTCACTGCGAGGGGACAGCCCTCGGGCTGGGGCTGGGGCTCGGGGGACCAGCCCTTGCCCACGTGTGCACGGCCCGGGGCTCCCCCAGCACCCCCCGAAACACAGAAGGAAAACATCTGCGGGCGGCGAGGGAGGAGGGGACGCCCGCACGGCCACACGGGGACACGGGGACATGTGGGTCACCCACAGAGAGACGCTGCGACCTCTGGTCAGTCTGAAGGAGCCCACAGTAGGCCACGGTGGGGGCCCTCGGCTGGGAGTCACCTAGATGCCACATCAGGCAAGAAACAAAAGTGACAGGGACGGGGACATCAAGGGGACACAGGGGACACGGGGGACAAGCTGGTCTGTGTGGCGTTTGGCCAAAAATACGCCCTTGATGACTGTGACCGGGCACTTCGGTGGCCACCCCACACAGGGGCTGAGGGCCCGAGGGTCCGGGTGGACCTCGAACCTGCAACGGCACATTCCCTTATTAAGCGCCTACTGTGTGGCCAGCTATGGGGTCCAGGGGGCTCTTCAGACAAAAGACCGGGCTCCCCGCTCCACGGCCGCGTTCTGATGGCCGGGGACACAGGACCCATCTGGAAGGCGGGGCAGTGGGACCAGATCTCTGTGAACACGAGTTTGGTTTTGTTTCGTGAATTGGGGATCGAAGTCGTGGCACTTGGCCCCTGAGCCCTGTCCCCAGCCCTGTTTTGTGTTTTATTGAGAGACAGGGTCTCCCTGAGCTGCTCAGGGCCTCACTTTGGCTGAGGCTGGCCTCCACCTTGCGATCCTCCTGCCTCAGCCTCCCGAGCTGCTGGGATCACAGGCGTGGGCCACTGCACCCTGCTGTTCTGTGCCCCACACAATGAATGGGTAACCCCACACTGCGCAGAGGGGCCCTGTGGCCTGGCTTTCCCAGGGTCCCCTGTCCCCAACTCGGGCTTTGAACCCAGGTCCCCAGGCCCCGCCCTCTTGCTACCTGCTTTGGCTTCTGCCTGTCGCTCACACTGAAGCAAGGCGAGTCTGAGGACAGGGGAGCCCACCCCGGACCCTGGCCACCTCAAAGTGCCTCAGGAGGAGAGGTGGCCCCGCCCCCAGGCCTGTCAATCAAACCTCCCCTGCTGCCCCCAGGTGGGGACTTTGCTGGGAACTCCCTTCCGTGTGCCTGAGGCGGAGGCGGAAGGAGATTCACCGGTGGAGACTCAGGAGGATGTGGCTTCTGCACGGGACATTTACCCCTGTCACTCTGGCCTCCAGCATGGAGTGGCGCAACCCTGCTTTTGAAAGTCAGGATCTGACAGTTTGGGACACTCCACCCCAGGCCCGAGGCGGCACTGTCAGCTGTGAGCGGATGCCAGCAGAGCCACCGACCAGTACCAGTCAGTCAAGGTTCGGGGATTTGCTGTTTTTCTGGGATATTTGATTCCCTTATTATGAAGGGGCTTTGTTTAATTTTTTTGGGGGGGAGGGGAGGGGACTACAGGACAAGGCAACAGGGCCTTTGCATATGGCAAGCAACCCCAAGGGGCACTCCATATGGGCTCAAAGCTGAAGGAGTTGCCCTTGGGGTTGTGCAGTGCACAACCTGCACAACCAGACCTGGCCACCCTTTGCGAAATTCACTGCAAATTCCTAAACCAGGAGTCCCAAAATGAGGCCTAATAAGGATCTTTTTCTGTTCCCGCAGGGCAGGGGAAGGGAACAGAGAATCCTTCTCAAATCACGACCATGGGGGCTTTTCGTTCATTCAGACTCGGTGACCCCCAAAGAGCGTAAGTGACAGAGGGTGAACTGGAGGTGCACCCCGCGCACCAGGGACAGCCGGATTTGGTGACCCCAGCCGGGCATGATCCATAGAAGGCATTGAGTCAGTCTGGGGGAGGTGGGGACAGGAAACCCCAGTCTTGTTCAACAGGGATCCAAACACTGGAGACGTCCATTCAGAAATTTAGCCCAGGGCACAAGCAGCTCTTTGAACAAGTCAGACTGTGTTCTCCGGTTCCCTGTTGAATGGCACGGGGTGTCTGCCCCATAAAAAGGTCTCAATCTCCACGCAGGGTAGTTTCCCGGTGGTGACAGATACCTGGCAAGGTTCCTGAACCTTCTGCCTGAGTCACTTTCCCAGAGCCAGCGCTAGCAAAGCCCTCCACCCAGGATTTGAGAAACGCCCCAATCATCACATCTTTACCATATTTGGCATTTTGTATAGAAAACCCTGACCCAGAAAAGAGTCGCATCTCGCGAGAGAGACTGCAGTCGCTCCCGTTTCACAGGTAAAGTAACTGAGGAGGCTCAGAGAGGTCAAGACACTCACCCGGAGTCACACAGCTAGAAAGAGGCCCCAAGGTACTCAGTCCCTGTTAGGCTCAGAGAGGTCAAGACACCCACCCCACGTCACACAGCTAGAAAGAGGCCACAAAGCAAGTGCCTGCTGGCCCTCTGTCCCCAAGCTGCCCGTCATGAGTCTCCGTACCTCTCTGCCTCCTGCTCGGCGCTCTGCTGCCTGTTGTCGAAGGCGTTGAAGCTGCTCATGTCCACGTAGCCGTCGTTCTCGTTGGCGGTGGCCAGGGCCCTGCTCTGCTCCTCGAACAGCTTGGTGAAGGTGGCGGCCCGGGCGGGCCTGCGGGGCGGGATCTGGATGTTCTCGTAGTCCGAGTTGCCGGCTGGAATGTTCTCGTAGTCCGACGTGTCGGCGTTGGGGAAGGAAATGGAGCGAGGCTTGGTCAGCGGCAAGGGCAGGAAGGGCGGCCGCGAGCGGTCTTCGAAGGACTCCACCCTGGACACGGTCCTGCTCAGGGGGATGCCCTTCCTCCTGCTGTCCCTGTAGAAGAGGAGGGACGAGGGGGACTCGCAGGCGCGCAGCTTGGCGGCCCGGGATTTGAGCTGCGGAGAGTTCCCGAAGCTTCTGCGCTCCATGTCCAGGAGCCTGGGGGGGCCGTGGTAGCTGGACTCGGAGGAGGACCTGGACGAGGGCGCGCTCAGGTCCCCGTGCGCTTTGCTCTCTGACTTCTTTTTGAAGGTCAAGGCCAAGAAGCGCTTGAAGGACGACTTCTTCTTCTTGGTGGCCTTGTCTGGCGACTCGCTGTCCAGCAGCAGCGAGGGCGAGCTCTTGGTGATGGGCTTCTTGGTGATGCAGGCCAGGTCGAAGGGGGGCGGGATGTCCACCACGGAGGACGGCGTGGACGTGCCACTCGACGGCAGGTGGTGCCTCTGCGAGAAGCTGCCGGAGGAGCCGATGACGCAGGGCAGCGACAGGTTGTCGTCCTTCCTCTGGATCCTCACGTCGTCCAGCCCCGGGCCGTCGGGCTCCCGGAACAGGCCCACGGGGACCTCGCGGCCCTCCACCGAGAAGGAGCGCGGGTACAGCGCGAAGGCCCTGGGCTTGGCGGGCAGGGCCCGGCTGCCGTCGGGGGGCCTCGCGTCCAGGGGCCACCGCGATTCCTCCGCGGCCTCTGCGGTGCCCGAACCCGAGGGACCCGCCTCTGGTCCCGCTTCTTCTAGGACCGTTTCTGGGACATACCCAGCCACCTTCCCAGAGTGGGGACGCGCCCGGGTGGCCAGGCCCTTCCAGTCCGAGGGGACCAGGCCGCCCTCGGCAGCAGAGCTGGCCTCTTCCGTGCCGTCGGGGCCGTCCGCCCCGTCGGGGGTGGCCGGAGTCTCCGGCTGTCCTCCTCCTCCAGGGTCGCCCGGGCTGGGCAGGCCGACGGCCACCACGTAGGGGTTGCTGAGCGAGTCGTCGGCGACGTCCTCCTCGTCCTCTGGCACCACCACCACGTCGGGGATCGACAGTCCGTCCGCAGCGTCCCCCGGCAGCTGGGGGGCGTCCACCGCGCACAGCCCCTGGGCCCCGGGTTCCCGCCCCGGTTCAGGGACCTGGGAATAGCTGTCGCTGCAGAAGGACGTGCTCTCCGTGGGCAGGAAGGCGTAGGGACTTCCTGTGAGCGATGTCACAAAGTCGTCCAGGCTGTCGCTCTCGAAAGGGACAATCTGGCAGCCGTCCTCGGTGGCCTCGTCCTGCGCGGGGTCCTCCCCTTCCAGGGGCCCTTCCTCGGCCGCCCTTTGTCCCTGGTCGGGTGCTTCCTCCTGGTCCCCCTGGTCCCCCTGGTCCCCGCCGTCTGGGCCGCCCTCGCCCTCCTCGTCCACTTCGCCGTCCTCCTCCTGCTCCTCCTGTCCCTCAGGGGTCTCCAGGCTGTCGCTGGCGGTCTCCGTCCCCTGGATGGCCGGGCCCAGCTCCTCAGCCTCCTGGGCTCCTTCGCTGTCATCCGCAACGTCCTGCCCCGTGTCCTGGGCCGCCCCGTCGGGGTCCCCGGCCTCGTGGAGTCCCCCAGGTTCGGCTCCGACGGGGTCCTCCTCCCCGTCCTCCTGCGCCCCCTCCTCCCCGGGGGCCTCGGGCTCCTCGCAGGGGACCTCGGGGGCCTCTGCATCCACGTGCGTGAGAATGATGTCGTCCTCCGAGATGTCGCCCGTGTCCCAGGGCCCCCGGGCCCCCAGGTTGTAGGCGTTGTGCGCCTTCACCCGCTTCTCCTCCTCCTCGCTCGTGGAGCCCTGCTCCTCCGTCCCCGGCGCGTCCTCAGAGTCCTCCTCCTCGTTGTCAGGGATGTCGCCTGTGTGTCCCTCGCCCTCTCCGCTGGGTGTCCCTTCGGCCGGGTCCTCACCAGCGCCTCCGGCCTCCTGCTCCTCCTCGCCAGGGTCACCTGGAGGCTCCTCGGAGGCCACATTCTCCACGCAGCTCCCGTCCCTCGCCACCACCCTGGGGACCTCCATGTCGTCCTCGTCCGTCTCGGACTGGCGCCCTGGGTCCAGCCCCGGGTCCACGCAGAGCAGCCGCCCGTTGCGGCATTTGGTGACGCTGTCGCCGACGCACACTCCGGGCCTGCCGTCGCCGGGGTCGGCGATCGGGGGCTTGGGACCCCGGGGCGCGCGGGGCGGACTGCGCAGGCGCAGGTGGGGCGAGGCGGCCAGCGGGGGCGCCACCCCGGGGGCGCGCGGGCTGCTGGTCCTGGGCTTGGGGGCGAGCGGTGGCTTGGGCGAGTCTGAAGAATCGGAGCAGAAAAAACAAAAATAAGAAAAGAAAATTAGAATTCTCTCTCTGCGACCGTCTAGAATGGGCTCCACGGAACCCAGAAGGGCTCCAGGTTGCAGGGGACCCATCGCCCCGCCCCCACCACTGTCACCTGCAGGGATCCCTCCACCGGCCGCTGCACAGCCGCTCCCTGCACCAAGGGCGCAGGTCTCTGTCCTGGAAATCAACCGAATGGCACCTCCTGCGCCTCGGGGGACAGATGTCCTGATCATCACACGGGTCCCCCTTACTGCAAGCCACCGAGAAGGGCCTTCTGCATCAATGAACCATGAGAAAAGGCGACATTTACGGGCGCTGGTCCAGTGGAGCGCACCGTCCCCTCGACGGCGGACGCAACAGAAAACAGGTGGGGTCTTCCAGGATCAAGGGGAAAACCTGGCACAGATGAGATGCGACTCCTGGAGGACACCCATGGACCCGCGGGATGGCGCAATCCAACAGCCACTGGCTCATGTTGAGGGGAGGACTCACAATGTACACCCCATAATATCAGGGACGTGTGGTTTTGGGGACAGTCACATCTGAAATCCGCACGCCTCCAGGCGGTGGCAGCCAGGGCGCTTCAGGAGCATGCGCAGTTCAGGGGAGGAAGGACCCCTGTGTGCCAACAGGAGAAGCTAAAAAATGTCTCTTCTGTTGGGCACCTGGTGGCTCACGACTGTCATCCCAGTGCCTCAGGAGGCTGAGACAGGAGGATCATGAGTTGGAGGCCAGCCTCAACCACTTAGCAAGGCCCTAAGCAACTCAGTGAGACCCTGACTCTAAATAAAATGCAAAATAGGGCTGGGGATGGGGCTCAGTGGTTGAGTGTCCCTGACTTCAATCCCCAATAGGTACAAAAAAAAAAAAAGGAAGGGAGCAGGTGTGGTGGGAGGTGCCTACCTACAGTCCCACCCACTTGGGAGGCTGAGGAGGGAGGATCACCTGAGCCCAAGAGTTGGAGGCCAGCCTGAGCAACATGGTGAGATCTTCTCAAAAAAAAAAAAAAAATTGAAGTGGGTGAAAGTCCTCTTCATGATATATTTTATTCAAATTTGGATATAATTTTATTTTATGTATTTGGATTCTGTGCTTGACCCTGAGCAAAGGCAAGCGCTCTGAGTACCTGTGAGGCAGGCGGGGCTCAGCACCATGCTTTTTAGGCTGCGGCCGGGGAAATGCATCCATTTTTACAATGTTTTTTCTTTTTTCTTTTTCTTTTTTTTTTGAGGGGAGTATCAGGGATTGAACTCAGGAGCACTCGACCCCTGAGCCCCCTCCCCAGCCCTATTTTGTGTTTTATTTAGAGACAGGGTCTCCCTGAGTTGCTCAGCGCCTCGCTGTTGCTGAGGCTGGCCTCCAACTTGCGATCCTCCTGCCTCAGCCTCCCGAGCCGCTGGGATGACAGGCGTGCACCACTGCACCCGGCAATTTTTTTTTTTTTTTATAGTGTTTTCAACTTAAAATGAGTCTCAGGACACAGCCCCGTGGTCAGCTGAGAAGTACCTACAGTCAATATGCAAAGTGTATTAATGAGATGCTGGACATTTCTTTTTTCATACTGAGCCTTGGCCTTTGAACATGTGATTGATACTCGGGGCCCTGCTCCACTCAGACCGGCCACATGCCCAGCACCAGCCTGGCTCTGAGTCTGGACATGGCCGTGACATCATGCCCGGGCACCTCCGTTTCTGGATGTCTGCAGCCAAAGTCAATACCGTCTTCCGCAAACTGGCAGAATCATGTCAAATGCAGCTGGGGCTCCAGTTGAAATCAAACCTCCCAGAGCAGCAAACATATAATTCCCAGGCCACCCACTGGGCTGCTTGGAGCACTTGATTTCAGAGTCACACTCCACGGAGCCGTTGTCTGCGTGCTTATTAGTGGCTGCGGCAGGAGCCCTGCAAGTTTTCAGATGTGGTAGCCGACAGGCAGCCACATGAAGGAGGCCCAGCTCCCAAGGACGTTGAAGCCAACACCGCATGGAACCCCTCACCCGCCCTGCGCTCATCCACGTCATGGCTCAGGGGACCACAGACCTGCAGTCAACAACCTAAGGTCTTCTAGGAATAAAAAGTGATTTTCCAACTCGATGCTTCCAGAAGCAAAGATGTCCTGGCGTAGGAAAATAGCTGTCCAAATTAGTGGGCAAAAAAAAAAATTTTTTTTGGAGCTTAAGAAGAAACTTTGGCTGAGCAGAGAGGCTGAGGCTTGTCATCCCAGCGACTCGGGAGGCTGAGGCAGGAGGATCTCAAGTTGGAGGCCAGCCTCAGCAACTGAGCAAAACCCTGTCGGTCTCAATATAAGAAGGGGGTTTGTAGCTCCGTGGTGGAGCATCTGCTCAGCAGGCATGAGACACGGGGTTCAGTCCCCAGGACCAAAAAACAAATGACAGGCAGGAGGGGGGATCCCAGGGACACTCGCTGTGGCTGTTCAGAGAGAGGCCAGCCCTGGCCTGCCCACACGCCCCTGGCCTGCACCTTGCTCTGCGCTGAGATGTTACAAAGTATCAGCCCGAGCTCTGAACATCAGGTGTCAGGGGCTGAGAGGAATCATCCACTAGGGGTGGGGACACTCATTCCTCATCCTTAACAGGTGGCATTTCACAGAGGCGCCATGAGACCGAGGGACAGACCAGGCTGTGAAAAATGACCGTCACCCTGGCTGCAGCGCCCCCACCCCACCCCATCCTTCATCCAATCAAGCTATTGATCCGTGGGCACCGGCTCCTGGGGAAAGGTTACGGTGGGTGTCTGAGGCGTGAGCCAGCAAGAAAATGTCGTCCCCACGGAACGATACGGCTCTGTGGCCACCCTGCGCTTCTAGGACTGGGCCCCACGGTGCTTCCCCTGCGACTCCCTGAAATCAGAAAGGCCTCGTCTGGCCCCCTTGCTGAAAGATGAGGAAGCTGAGACACAGAGAGGGCAGGTAAGTGGCATGGGGTTGCACAGCAAGACTGGTGTAGGTAGCCCCCTCACCCTGCCCGTGGCTTTGGGTCAAAGAGTGTTTTCTTTACAGTGGAGACTCAGAGGTCTCAGCGTGTAGGGAGGCAGGGCAGGGTGAAAATGTAGGGAAACCGAGGCCAGAGAGACCCAGAACAGCTAGTGACATGAGAATTTTGTGTTTTGGTATCAGTGATTGAACCCAGGGTTGCCTAACCACCGAGCCACATCCCCAGCCCTTTTTATTTATTTTGAAGACAAGGTCTCACTGGGTTGCTTACAGCCTCACTAAGTTCCTGAGGCTGGCCAGAAACCTGCGATCCTCCTGCCTCAGCCTCCTGAGCCGCAGGGAACACAGGTGTGAGCCGCCGTGCCTGGCCAGGTGAGAAATTTAAATAACTAGCTTTAGTGTTCTCCTCCTCCTCGGTTTCCTTTAGTCCAGCTCCAGTAAATACTAATTGAGCACCTACTGTGGACCAGGCCCTCACCCAGGTTCTTTGCACACATCACTAGGAAGTGAAATAAAGATGTCGCTCGCGGGGATCTTCTCTTGGGAAGTGGCGGGAGACGGGCAAGATGGAGGGAAAGTTCATTATGCCAGGTGATAACGAGCTCCATGCAGAAATGGGGTGGCGCTTTTAAATAAAGCGAACAGGACATTAGAGCCAAGGTGTAAAAACGGGTGAGAGAAGCCGGAACGCACTTGTCACGCCCAAGAGACGGCAAAGGAGACCAGTCCAACCAAGGTTTTGAGCTCCCTCCTGCCCACCACCTTACAAAAAGGAACCCAATGGCCAGGCCAGGTGGTGCCCATCTTGAATCCCAGAGGAGGCTGAGGCAGGAGGATCGTGAGGTGGAGGCCAGCCTCAGTAACTTAGTGAGGCCCTCTGTAGAGCGAAGGGCTGGCCACCTCCACCTGTGAAGCGCATGGCTCTCCTCACGACGTCCTCGGACATCCCCACACTCAGTCCCCAAGTCTGTCTGAGCTGCAGATCTGGATCCCCCCGCCCCCCACCCCCAGGATGCCCAGGACCACGCGCTGCAAGAGTCGTTCATCATCCCCAATTTCACCTTCGCACGGTGTCTTCATTAATCGATTCCTGGGGACCTGCCAGAGTGTCCAAGCCAAGCCTGACGATTTCTAATTAGGCTGCTGCTCAGCGAGTCCAGTCACCCACGACAGGACACATGCCCGGATGACAGACTGGGACACCACGGAGAACCAGGGGCCTGGGGCTCACCGTGTGGCGCTGATGCCTGCTCTGTTACCCATCGGCTCTGTGATTCCGGTCACTGTGCCCCTGGGTGCCTCCATTTCCTTCTTGGTCAAAATGGAAGCAATACCCCCTCTTTCGCAGGAGTGGGGGGAAGACCCAGAGAAGGGACAGGCATTTGAAATGTTTGGTAGAGACACCCCTGCGAACCTACTGTGTGCTAGGGACCGGATTAAAAAGCAGCCTCTCAAGATGAGTAGGTGGTGGTGGTTCAACCCTGTCTCAGACCCTCGATAAGTTGGTGACCCCCAAAATCCAGGCACCTGCTTTTGCAACTATAAAATGAGGGGGTAGCAATATACTCCCCCAATCAGGTCACAGCGAATGTCAAATAAATTGATACAAATAGAACACTTTCTAGCACCACCTGATACAAAGTAAATAGCTGATACCTATTAGCTAGTATTTATGGGCTGCTTAGAATGCACACTGGTCTAGGCACACCTTATATGCTTTGTGATCATAAGAACTCAATGACAAAGAGCTATATCTCCATTTTTCAGGTAAAGAAACTGAGGTGCTAGGCGCGGTGGTGCATGCAGATAATCCCAGCAACTCGGGAGGCTGAGGCAGGAGGATCACAAGTTCAAGGCCAGCCTCAGCAATAGAGTGAGGCCCTAAGCAACTTAGCTACACCCAGTCTCAAAATGAAACATAAAAAGGGCTGGAGATGGGGCTCAGTGGCTAAGCACCCCTGAGTTCAATCCCTGGTCCAAAAAAAAAAGAAAGAAGAAACTGAGGTTCAGAGAGGCTCAGTAACCTGCTCAAGGTCTCACTAAACTAGGTTTATGGTGGCTCCGAAGTTCATTTCCTGGGATTCTGTAAACCAAGAACAACACCATCAGGAAATTCTGAGCATGGTGCCCATGACAGGCTGTAACCACACTGGAGAAGGAACCCCGGTTTATGCTTTTAGACAAATTACAGGACGGCGGAATCAAAGACTGCCAACCAACTGCTCGCTCAGACCTCTAGAACCAAACTTGCCTCCAACTTGATCCGGCCTCACTCCATCCTCCCTGTTCTGGGAGAAGGGTAAGGCTGGCCCACGCCCCACTCAGGAAAACGTGGGAAAGCTGGAAAGGCTCTCACCATTGTTATCAAGCGACTTTTATTAGAAGCCCAGGGTAAAAGCTAGCCAGCCTCTGTCCAGGCCGTACCAGCCCAGCCAAGAGGCAAAGTCCCTCCAAGCAGTGGCTGGCTGGGGCGCTGGGACCCTGGGACTCTGCTCCAGCCTCCTCCACTCCCACCCAGTGGCACCCCTGCTCCTACGCCCCTCCCCCATCCCTTGACCCGCAGGGACCCCTCCCCCCCCCCAGGTGTCCACATGCCCAGCCCCAAGCAAGCTCCATCCTTTGTAGATCCCTCTGGTCCCCTGGCTCCTGGGGGCACCTCGCTCCTAAGACAATGACCTTTTTTTTTTTTTTTCCATTAAAACAATTTTGAAAAGAAAAGGGGAAAGGAAAAGAAAAACCACAAGCGCGCACACACACACACACACACACACACACACACGCACACAGGGCAGCAGGATATGGTTCCAACCCAGCCAACATGGTGGCTTCCTGTTTCTTGAGGGCCGTGTGTTTTGGAGTGGGGCTTTGCAGAGGGTGTTGGTCGGGAGCTGGATTCGAGGAGAAAAAGGAAACGGGGCAGCGAGGTCCCGGGCAGGAGGACCGAGCGGCGGGCGGGGGGGACGGCGCGGCCAAGTCTCCTCTTGGAGAGAACTTTCCGCCCTCGGCGCAGGGGCGCGCTGCGGCGGCGGGGCGCGCGGGGACCCGGGACGACGGGGACCGGCGCCACCCAAGCCCAGCCTCCCTTTCCCGAGGCGCCCCTCGGCCTCCTCCTCGGAGGCGCGCTGCGGTGTCTCCTCGAAGCCGTTCGGGTTCCGCGGGAGCTCGGAGGGGCAGGGACACCCGGGTGAGCGGCGTCCCCCGCCGGGTCCCTCGGAGGACGCGGGGGCTGCGCTCAGGGCGGGGACGGGGGCTTCGAGACCCTG